ACTTATGAGTCTGACTACAGGTTTTATGTTGTGCTACAACGTATAATAAATATGCTGCTTTCATTTTCCTCCTCCTGCCTGATGTTAGCTGCTCTCGCTTGTCTCTTTTCTGTTTGAAGACCCTTTCAGAACACAGAACCACTAACTGGATGAACAGCACATGACGTGTTGATGTTCCCCCTGGCAGATAAGAAGTCACCAACAGAGATATTCTCTTACCACGCTCACGTGTGCTTTCTGAAATTAAAAGAGGCGTGGAAAAATCTCATCTGCTCTGATTCAACCTATTAAAGTCTGCAGCAGGAGCTGCAGAATAACCCTTGACCCTTTATAATGTTGCAGATCAAAATATATCCAAGAACATCTTTTTTAGGGTTTTAAATTTAAAAATAATCTGACTCTTATTCTGATTGTATCTGCACCGCTGCATACTTTCAACCAGACTCTGGGGCAATAAAGTTTGTTTTTATTTTCTATTTTGTACGTATAAAGAGTAAAGAGCTTGCATGTCTAAAAAGAATAAAATAAAAAACACCCATTTGGAACATTTATTCAAAATACTAATATTTCTTTGTTCTAATCACACTAACTTTTGTAGATACAAAAGATCAGTTATGTAATATAAAAAAACAAGCATAGAAAAGCTTTCTTCTAATCACTCTGAAAATAATGTTTACCTACATTTAAATGCATCTAAAGGGTTAATGTTTCTGACTGAGGGGAATGGAGGTGTGTGTGTTCATGTTTTTGAGCCCAGACCAGTCCCGATCCACATCACAAGGTGAATAAAGTTTAGGCTAGGTTTAGGGTCAGATAAGCTATACAAAATACTGGTAAATGAATGAAAGTCAATGCAAAGTCCCCATAAGGATAGAAGAACAAACGTGTGTATGTCTGTGGGACAGCGAGGAGACAGCAGAGCGCTGCAGGCAGGAGGAAGAAACTTGTTTTTTGCAAGAGTTGCGGCTGGAGCAGCTACTGATGGCGTTTTTTTGGGTGTGTTGTTAAAACACAGATGGTGCATTTAAGTTATTTTTGGGATCTACAGATAAAGTCTCAAAGAGCTTGACAAGTCTGTCGCTGCCTCACTCCGAGGTACAGAGGCGGGGAGTTTCAGCCTCTCTCTCTCAATGCCTCCGCGTGCCTTCAGAATGGACCGAGGTGATCAGTTTTATACGGAACAGGCTCTCATCTAAAAATAGTCCGATGCAAATGTCCACATTATTACACATCACTGGAATTTATTGTATGCGAGAATTTCCCACATTATAAAAACTAGATTTGCGGGAATCGATCATAATGTGAGCAATACCCGCAATCCCGCAGCGGATTTCAGGCCCACTGTGTCCACAGGTGTGTCTGTAATTACTCCAATGTTGTCAACTAACATATCAAAGTTTCCA